GTAGGGGAAAAGTGGAGTGGGAAAGGAAGATGTTAAATAAGAGATGGTTGCAGGAGTGAGCAGAGAAGGAGAGAGAGATGGCGATAAGATGGAGAGGCAAAGAAGAAACAGGGGAATTATCTTGTGTTATCAGGAGGGCGCGCTTATGGAAGAAGAGTGGGGGAGGCAACCGCAATGTAGAAGCATGGGTTTTTCTCTAAGGGGATCATGCAACGGAGGCTCTTTGGGTATAACTAGTGGCCCGCACAGACGAGGCACACGGCACAAATGAGCAGGGCGCACGGCGAAAGTAATGAGCGCAAGAAGAGGGGCAGAAAACCAGACAGCCTCGAGTAGATTGTTACTATGTTGTGTGTTTACTATCGTGNNGCTGAGTTTTTCCATTGAATGTCGGCCACAGTATCTGAGACAGAGAGAGAGAGAGAGAGAGAGAGAGAGAGAGAGAGAGAGGAAGTGAGCTTGCTGCCTGTCTTTAGACACAGGATGTGCCAAGGCCTGTGAGCTGAAATACCAACCTTTACTGTTCTACAAGGTGAAAGAGTGACAGCCGCACGACACCTCCCACGCAGCAATTGATGCACGTCTATAGATATCAAAATCTGATCAAAAATTTATTTTCCCACAGAATCTGTAAATAGCTTTCGAAGCATGTCCCGTTGCTTAAATCATCCACTTCATCCTGATATATGAAATGCAGAGATATTATTTATCTTAAAATGGGAGAGTACCTCTGTCGGAAGCACATCTGACAATGTAAAGCTGTCACACTCTTCACTGCGTGTGATAATCCCTCCATCTCTCCATCCACCTGATGTTGTCTCTTCTCATTTTTTCCTCCTTTCTGTTTTTTTTTTTGTTGTCTTTATGTCCCGTGTTGTGATTGTTGTGTTTCGTCGAAAAAACTCCCTATAGAGGAAACTCCGCTGGGATATGTGAGCAGATTCGCTATGATTTCTCTTTTCTTTGCATCTGGCTAGTGTGTACTCAGTGACATAGTGGATACTGTAGTGTCAACATGACTGCATCACTGAGGATTTGTAACAGTGTGTTGCTCTAGAGCCAGGGTAGACCCAGCTAACTACATATTCAAACCTAATGTTAGTGTGTGGAGTCCGAGGGAACTATTACAATAGTAGAGACCTATTGTGCAAAATGTCCATCATGCATATATTCATTATACACAGTGACATTTCCTTCCATATACATTATGTTAATTTAACAACTGATCAGCTTTAATTTATTTTCCATTATCACGGCCTCTGCTGTTGTAATTTCCCACAGAAATACTCAGGCACTGTGAGCTTTGCAGTTTTGTGCTTCTGCCTTTTCCCCAAGCCATCCTATAAAGTGGTTACACGATACCATTATCTCTGCTCTAACTACTCCTCAGAAGTTCTTTGTGATATACTTTGTTTTCTGCATGTACTTACACGTCGGTGTGGGTTTGTTTGTTTTCTGAATGTGCATACAGTACGCGTGTGAACGCTTGGGTGTAAACCTGCACACTTCATTGTAATTATGTGCATTGTATTCATGCTTCTGTCCATCTTCCCTCTTTCCGCTGCTCTCACCCCGCACCACCCCCGCTCTACTATTTGTTGCCGTGGTTACAGAGCAGCACTGGCTTCTGCACACCAGGCCCAACCCCTCCCCCAGACCCTCAGTGTTCTGGACAGCACACCCCAGGTTAAGGGCATGCACACCATCATCAGGTATGAGCTAAGAAATCAACATCTGTTTCCATTAAAGGAGAGAAAAAAACGGTTGTGTACGAAAGCTGCCGTCATCATAAATCCTGTACCGTTCTTTTGTTCATGACCACATTTAGAAACAAGGAAACCAGCCGCGATGAGTTCATCTTCTACTCCAAGAGGCTGATGCGTCTGCTGATTGAGCGAGCACTCTCCTTCCTCCCCTCGCAGGTGATCAACACCTATTTATACTGTTAATTATGTCACGGTGCTGCATGAAGGTGCTGTAATCTTTTGTATGAAGCAGGAGATTATTGACTATGAACCATTAGATATCTGGGCGTGGATAGAGACAGGAGAAAGAAAGGCTGATATTGCCAATGGGTAGGAAGAAGCTGACAAAGCAGCAGAGCCACATACAGTACAATGTGTGGCCTTGAAATGGTGAAAGAGAAACACAAATGGGAGCTGAATGGAAAAAGAGTAAGTGCTTGTATTTGCTGAAAAGAGAGTCGGATGGAAACGTATTGAGTCACCACAATAGAAAGTTTCCATACCTTAACCATAAGATACAGCTTAACACACATGAAATGATTGACTTCTAAAGAACACTACAGTGCTGTGATCAGCATTGTACTCACACTGTTATGATTTTTTATATTATCTCAGGTCCACTTAGTGCAGACCCCCCAGGGAGAGGATTATGAAGGCAGGACTTTTGACGGGAGGAGGGTGAGTGAACTCCATTTACTTCCTGACGACCTTTTTTTAATTTTAAGGACCATTGAAAAGAGTTTTGATGCAATTAACCTCTGTTTTAAATTATTATTATTATTTTACTTTCCATTTGTTTTTCTTTAGATCACAGGCGTGTCCATCCTGCGCGCCGGGGAGACCATGGAGCCCGCTCTGAGGGCGGTGTGCAAAGATGTCCGCATCGGCAAAATCCTCATCCAAACCAACCAGGACACAGGAGAACCAGAGGTACAGATTCGAAATATGCAATTTGTGTGAAACATTTTGCATTAACTTCACTTTAATTTACTTTCATTGTCCTTTTTCACATATGGAAACTTAAAAAAATCATGAAAAAATGATTTAACAATATTTTACAATGACTTTCTTGCAAAGTCATGGTCCTGTTGTTCCATCCTACTTTTTGCTCATATCATACATTAAGATGTAGCTACAGGATAGTACTTTTAATCCACTTCCTGTTAAACATTTTCAGCTTCATTACCTGCGTCTACCAAAAGAAATCAGTGAAGACCACGTGGTCCTGATGGACTGCACTGTGTCCACGGGAGCTGCTGCCATGATGGCTGTGCGAGTCCTCCTGGTGGGTGCGCCTGATTGGTCACAAGTCTATGCTGCTTGCAATGAATCGCTTCCCTCATGTATTCTTTAATCACGTGTGTGTGTTTTCATTCCCAGGACCATGACGTTCAGGAGAACAAGATCCTGCTCGTGTCCTTGCTAATGGCAGAGATGGGAGTCCATTCGGTGGCGTACGCATTCCCACAGGTCAAAATCATCACCACTGCTGTCGACAAGAAAGTCAACGACCTCTTCCACATCATACCTGGCATTGGTGAGTAATGTTGAAATGAAGATATGCTGTTATTGCATTATATTTACTGTCTTTCCCCGCATTATCAATACTTGATGTCAATTATATTTCAGTTTAAATTAACGCTGACGTTCTCTCTGTTGTAGGAAACTTTGGGGATCGATACTTTGGAACAGATGCACCCCCCGACTGGAGCGACGAAGAGATGGATGAGCCCAGTTATTGATTGCATTTTTAGCAGTGTACTAAGTTATTAGGTGATTCAGAGCCGTGCATTTCGGAGGACAGTATGAGGACGTACCCTTTGCTGCTGTTGGGCTGTAACGTGTCCTCCAAACCAAACCAGGGGCCCTGACAAATCAACTGAAACAGAACAAAACATTGCTTTGTACAGTCACCTTGTTTGAATTTTAAAGTATATTATTTTATCTCATGTAAATGCTGTTGTGAAGTGAGTTATTTTTACATGTTGTCCAAATATTTTATTTTACTTTTTAAATTAATGCAATCTCTGAAACTTGCTGGCATGTTGCTTCGAAAATAAATCTTTAGCCTTAAGCCGTGTACTGTAGACGACACACTGAATGTGAATTTGCACGTGCCGTAAAAGGAAAAGACATCAAGCTTTTAAGGTTATTTTAAACCATATACCTTCCTCACAACTTTCTCAAAAGTAAAATCGGAACATGAACTTGTGTTGCTCAACTTCCATCGCCGTAGGCACTTTCTGAAGACCATTCGATCGAAACAATGCGTGGGTGTAGCCGTCTTTCTTTCAGCTCTCTGGTTCACACTTTTTCCACTTTGTGAATGCTGACCCAACCAGTTAGGTTAGAAAAGCCTTTTTCATTTTACAGCCAAAAGTATGTGCTGTATATTTATGCAGCATATCATTCATTTACATATTTCTATGTATAGACCTGACCAGTCAGCAGGCCAGTTATGTATCTTTTTAGCTGCAATGAAAATAGGTCATCTGCATTCAATAAAAACCGATTTAGTGTTTATTTCAGTGCAACCCCTCCTGATGAATGCCTCTGTATGTGCTGCAGTAGCTGGCATTCGTTGGTATAAAAGGGGGCTGTTGAGTCAGGGATGCATATGAACTCAGAACATCTACATGTCCTGTCAGTGCCTGATATTTATACTTAGTATAAGTATTACAATTAATGAGATCGGTCTGTTAAAGTTGGTGCCCCTTTATTTTGTTTTAAATGTTTGCCAGGGTTTGTTCGCACTCCACAATGTTGGTTCATTTGGTTACTGTATTTGAACTGTTGCAATGAGAAAGAGGAATGTTGAATATTCATTTTGAAATTGAAATGTAGTTTCATTAATAGGATCTTCAACAAGTTCACAATTAATTATAATTATGATGTATTGCATAATTTGTTTACAAAAAAATCATTATATAGGCCTTTATATATAAATATATGATAATTTAAAAAGTTATTTATTTTTACTTTTTCTTTTTGCATTTCTTTGACAAAAAAAAATGTACACCCTTAAGGGGAAACAAATACAAACGTGAAAATGCAACTTGTAGCCAAGTTAGCTACAAGCACTGTTACTACTGTCAGCTCACCATTAGCATTTCTCCATGCAGTCACCTGCCACTGTGCGCCGGTTACTGCTGAATACAACTGTCAGTGAGACATTGAACTGAACATTCATCCATTGTGTTTGCAGCCTGTTTGACTGCGTGTTGTTATGTGTTTACTGCTGCTGCATGTTTTTATATGTTAAATAAAAGTGCAGTTTAGCTTTTTAAATGGCTCAACGTGTATTATTTAATTGATGTCATATTTTCAACAAGCTCACCCCAGTTAAAGTCTTTTGTGTCAGTTAAAACCATGAGGTCAGGGTTATTAAAACACACATAGCACTAAGCGTATACCTCTAACCTCTATATTGTTTCCCTTCATCAAACATTGTAACACCTTTAGTTGAAAATGAACAGGAAGGATATTGTGGTTGTCCTCTTCTCATGGAAAGGAACCTTGATATCTCCCATCACTTTCCATAATTATCACTCTGACTGCTGTCAAGACGGCCGCCACGGTAACGTTTGATTGACACACATTTGATGAGGCTGATGGACAATTACAAACCAGCAGCGTATTAGGCAGATATTGACCCACAAGAGGCAGCTTTCTTCACAGGAAGGGGGAGTGAGGATGACACTCAAAAGACGTGCAAGATCTAAATTTATCAGGAAGCTCGGCAGAAGCATTTTTTATTCTTGTGCTCTAGTTTAATCCAGAATTAAATATGCAGCTGTCGTACAACTGAAAGCTTTTATTTTGTTGTTATTAATTGTTTAATGTTCTTCAACATTGAAAATGGCTGACTTCTGATGAAAATATAATACCCAGTTACATTAAGGCAAGGCACATTTATTTATACAGCACCTTTCAACACAAGCAAATCAAAGTGGTTCACAAAAAAAAAGTAGATGTGCAGTGCTGGTGTAAACATGTTATAAAGTGATATTTTAAAACGTAATAATTAGCTGTCTATTTAAACCTTTGTTGGCGGCTATTCATTTTTCAGTCACAACATGTATCACTCCCTCGTCACCCAAGCATAATATTTCTACTCTCCATTGTTTGGTGACATTCCTTAAATACTATTTTAATTCAATGCATGTGTACTTTATTTCTTAATGTCAAACTGCATGAAAACATCCTATTTGGTCCTTTGAGTGGAGATGTCAGTGGAAAGTTTACCACCAGCACTGACAAACAGGAAGGTGGTTGGTGTGTGTGTGTGTGTGTGTGTGTGTGTGTGTGTGTGTGTGTGTGTGTGTGTGTGTGTGTGTGTGTGTGTAATTGTGTGAGTTGCATCCTTATTCGTAGTTCAGAACACGATGAGGTCACAGCTTAGTGAGGGCAGCAGGAGTGGCCTTTTTTCAGCTCAACAACCTGCCTCTTTTTCATCCTCCCTTCAATAGCTTGGCTCAAGGTTGATCTGCTCTCTTCCTGTGCGCCTTCTTTTGCTCTTGACTTTTCAAAGATGAAGATTGTTTCCCTGTCTGCCTTCACTGGGTCCGAGGAGTCAGAGGGTCTGCCATGTGGGTAAGAAGTACACAGAGGAAGCTCTTAGAGAGAAGGAGACTTCACAAACTTGCCACAATCCTCCATTATTGTGTTGATTGGTGCGAGATGAAAGGGAGGAAACATAAAACATAACTTTGTATTTATGGTTGCTATTTGCTTGGTTAATGTGCTATCTGGCAGAGAGTGTGTCTAGATTGTTAATGTTGAAGTGATGGTGTGAGTAGGCCAACACAGCAGTGGCTTAATGCAGAGAGTTGAGGATGAATAATTCAGACGGTGGATTTCTGAATCATGAGAGGAGGGTTTGGATTAGTCTGCTGAAAAGGGTAAAGTATTGTCTCTCCATTGCTCCCCTTTCACTCTCGCTTTATCGGTGTGTTTGTGTTCTCCTGTGCTCTCCATCTGCATAGTTTATCATGAGAGTTACATTTCTAAGAGACGGGGCTATCCTCATAAAGTCAGGCCAGGGTGATTTAGATATTTTTAGTATGAGAGGCAGTGTGTGCATTAGGCTGCGTTCGAGAAGTGTTTAATTGCTCACTGAGTGGTTTCAGTGCATTAGCTAACAACAGAGAGCCAGATGTGGTGTTATTTTTGAATGAGAGCATTTACACACAGCCTTTCATGTATTGCATTGTTGACTTTATGAGATTAAACCTAATATATTGAAGTTAGATTACATTTTAGACTGGGAACAACACCTGTATCCTTCTTTGAAGATAAACGGGATACATTTTTTACAGCATAATGTGGAAATATAAAACCAAAATCAACCAGAATATTTCAGTTGTTGCTTTAAGTAATGTTTTTTAAATTGTATTTTTTACATTTTTTTTTTATCTAATTGGTTGAATTTTTTTTTCTGCCGCCAAAATTCTAACATTCAAAAACAGTCTATTTTGGTCACAAACATAACAAACCTACAATTCAGCTTATTTTAAGGAGATACTGTTGTTACATTTAAAATAATTAGTTAAAACTATACTATAAGTGCGACCAACACTATTATGTTAATGTTCTTTCTTTCTTTTTATAAAGTTGTGTTTGTTCAAATAAATGGTATTGCATAAATTACCCAGAAGACCACAATTATGTCAAATGTACATATATTACATATTTTTAATCAAGTTATTTTGTTTTTGTCGAAGGAGTTGCGCTCAGTGTGGACACTGTGTGCCGAGGCTCGTGGAGTCCAAAGTCCGCTGTAATTCTTGAGTAGTTCTTCGAGGACTGTCCTACCTGAGAATGGTGATTTCAGGCTCAATCTCAGGTTCGTCAGCCCATGAAAAGCTAACTCACGCCAGCAGATTAGGACGAGAAACACCAAAAAAGAAAATCTGCCAGGACTGTGATGATATGCATTGTGTTATAAAATAAGCAAAGATCTAAACATCAGATAAACAACCTGATTAATAATTAGTTTACTGTGTAATTTCTGAATATTGCATTCAATATCTAAAACTTGTCTGACTTTATTGTCAAAATATACCTTTCCGGTCCTTCTAATATATCGAATGAAATCAAATAATGCATATCCAAACAATGTGGCAAAAATAATTTCTTCCACTTAATACAAATGGCAATAATATATCTAAATGGCCTTTGAAAGGGGCTCTTATCCTCACACTGATTTCCCAGGTAAAATATTAAGACACAGCCGCAACAGTTCCCCGAACATATCCCCAGTAGAGGGAGCAGTGTACACACTAACCAGAGAGCACAGGCTGTCACTGATGTGAACATTACTTTAGTTATTTTTTATTTTATTTCAAAGCTAAATCACCTCAATCAACCATTCAAGGATTTTTTTTAAAAATGTCTTTATGAATGGCTACATAATTACTGAAAATGACTGAAAGAAGGATGGTGAAGGTCACCTCACAAGCTGCTTTCACATCGTAACGACACGAGGACAGAGCTGAAATCTGATGTTATTTTAAAACACGACTTATATTTTATTATATGTACCCACGTTTTATGATATATTTAACCTGGTTAACATTGTTATTGGATCATACCTAAGAATAAAGCTGGTAATTCATTCTGCTATTATTATTATCTTATTTGACATCTGCAAAACAAATAATTTATGTTAACAATCACAATTTGTCAGACTAGAATAAATGATGAATGCCAAATAAAATACCAAATACAGGATGAGAAAGTATTTCTATGTACTTGCATTTTCAGTACCTTCATGTTTTCGTACTGATGAGACATGTTAGTGAATAGAAAAGACAGGCTACCGGATATTATAATCCTTCATGGAGAGATACAGTCAATGTATATTTTATTTGGTTCCAGAAACTAATTTCAATATTTTATGCAGCTATTATTTATATATCATTGTTGTGCATAGATTGTCTGTGCCGAAAAATATAAAAGCTTAAATAAATGTTAAAGAATCTGAGAATTTCTATTTCTGCCAGTTAGTAACGCAAATGTAATTCAACATGTGCTTAATCATCCTGCATAAAACACAACCCTAACCCTAAAATGTAATAAAACTCTAGGAAACACAATAATTATTGTCGGGTATCTTTTCTCAAAATTATCCAAAAATAGTACTGTCAGATGCACCGTGGTATTTGCAGCATCTCGTAACACTTCAGTTTCCTTTTTTTCTCTGAAAGCCGACTTCTAGATTGTTCTGGTCGCTGTCAGCCTGGGAGATTAATTCACTTTGTGTCTTTGCTTTATGAACTGTTTATTAGAATAAAAAAATGATGTGAAAATGATTTACCAAAGGCATTGAACAAAGCGGCATTCAACTTTAGAAAGCACACTCTTCTTTGTTTTTCTTGTTAGATTTGTACCTTGGCATCTGCAAAATCTTTCAGGAGAATATGTGGCAAGCTCTTTTTCACATTATGACCTTTCACTTAGATGTATGTATAAATCAAACGTTAAACTCACAGGTGTCAAATTTTGTACAAATGAAATCCTTTCAGAGTTGTTTTAATTGAGTTTGATAACGTTTGCAGTTCTGTTTCCTACTAACTATCAATGCAATGTTTCCATACCAGATAATAAGAGCGCTTCACTGTTACCGTATTATGTTACTCCAGAAGCATGTTATATTTAGACATGTCAAAATCATACAGTTAATGGTGAAAGGAAATAGAAAATCCAACTTTTGCGTCTCTGACAATGTTTCTTTTTTATCCAACAGAGCAAAGTTGAATAGAAGGCATATAATATTTTTCTGGAGAGGGTGAAAATGTTTTCTGCGCCTTAAAAACAAACATGTGCTTTGGGTTTATTAATGTACCACAATGTCCGCCATTGGTTTATTGGCCCATATTGGTTTTCAGTTATTGTTTTAACTCAAAGGTCTTTATGAAAAGGGTCTAAAGAGACAGCAGGTGCACCCTTTCACACCGCAAATGAAGTGTCGCTACCGTTGTTATTTTTGTTTCCCTACTATGAACCCACATTATCTTTTATTCTGGTTTGCAGTAATCAAATTAAAACAACTTGGTTAAATGTAAACGTATTCACAGTAGCTTTCTGTCACTGCAGGCAAACTGATTTAACAAGCACAAGGAAATGGGTCCTGTAGAAAATGGACAAGAGGAGTGTGTGACCCCGGTGACCTTTCTTTCATCGGGGTTAAGGGTCAAATTGGGATCCAGCTCTCTGTGGAGAGATTAAACCCGGTCACCAAGGTAACATAATGGGCAACCTGGATGACCAGGGTCACATCGGTGAATGCTG